CACGACATCCAGCTAATTTTTTTATTTATTGTAGAGACGAGGTCTCACTAAGTTGCTCAGGCTAGTCTCAAACTCCTTGACTCAGGCAATCCCCTTGCCGCTATCTCCCAAAGTACTGGGATTACAGGCATGTGCCACTGCATCCAGCTGGTGGCTACCTTTAAAGCAGAAGTCACATACAATATAGCAGCAGGAAAAGCAGCTGGGTTTCTAATAATGCCATAGAACTGCTACACTAGCACTAGACTGACTGACTACCACAGAAATTATGTTTAGAAAGATATAAACCTTGATCTTGCTTAACACGCTAATTTGCAATTTGTTCTTACCTGCCAGCAAACATTTCCTGATACAGTATGTTTCACATTTACAGGTTCTATTTTTGTATTTCTATTAGTTACTCCATTAACAATTAGGATCTCAGAGCCAGGCTCGGTGGCTCAGTCTGTAATCCCATGCCTTTGGGAGGCTGAGGGGAGTGGATTGCCTGAGCCCGCGGGTTCAAGACCCGGCTGGGCAACTTGGTGAGACCTCCTCTCTACAATAAATCAAAAAAATTAGCTGGGCGTGGTAGCGCATGCCTGTAGTTCCAGCTACTTGGAAGGCTGAGGCGGAAGGATCACCGGAGCCCAGCAGGTTGAGGTTGCAGTGGCTGCTCTGGGCGACAGAGTGAGACTCCAACTCAAAAACAAAAACAAAAACAAAAACCAATTAGGATCTCTAGCTGGGCACGGTGGCTCACACCTATAATCCCAGCACTTTAGGAGGCAGAAGCGAGAAGACTGCCTGAACCTATGGGTTCTAGACTACCCTGGGCAACATGGCAAGACTTTGCTTCTACAATAAAAAGAAATTAGCTGGGCGTGGTGGTGCTAACCTGTAGCTCCAGTTACCTGGAAGGCTGAGGCAGAAGGTCAAGGCTGCTGTGGCTGTGAGCATACCACTGCACTCTAGCCTGGGTGACAGAGTGAGGCTCTGACTCAAAAAAAAAAAAAAAATTAGGATCTCTAACCATTTTTAGTTTTCCCCATAAATTACTTAAACTTGCAACTATTTACCTTTCTTGCCCACACAAGGAGAAGCAATTTAGGATATTTTCACATTAGGAAATATAGATTTTTCACATTAGGAAATACAGTTTATTTAGAAAGGAAATTTGAGGCTGGGCTCGGTGGCTCAGCCTGTAATCCCAGCACTTTGGGAGCCCGTGGGTTCAAGACCAGCCTGGACAACTTCATGAGACATATTCTCTCCAATAAATCAAAAATTAACCAGGCATGGTAGCACGCACCTGTAGTTCCGACTACTTGGAAGGCTGAGGCGGAAGGATCGCCAGAGCCCAGCAGGGCCAGGCTGCAGTGGCCAGGTGCATGCCACTGCACTGCACTCCAGTGGGCGACAGAGTGAGACTCCAAAAAAAAAAAAAAACCAAAAAAAAAAAAAAGGAAATTTGAGAAAGAGGAGATTCAGCTCCTCAAGGTAGAAAAGGGAGCCAAAGCCAGGAAACATGACCTGGCCATAGCTCAAACAGCACATGGTCACACCATACCTTAGCAAGGCAATGACAGACAAGATATTTTCTTTTTTTTTGAGTTGGAGTCTCACTCTGTCACCCAGGCTGGAGTGCAGTGGCACACTCAAGGCCACCACAGCCTCAAACTGCTGGGCTCAAGAGACCCTTCCATCTCAGTCTTCCAAGTAGCTGGAACTACAGGCGCATGCTATCACGTCCAGCTTATTTTTTGATTTACTGTAGAAATGAGGTCTCATCAACTTGCCCAGGCTGGTCTCATACCCCTGAGCTCAGGCAATCCTCTCGCCTCGGCCTCCCAAAGTGCTGGGATTATATAGGCTTGAGCCACCACATCCAATTGGTTGTTTTCTTAAACCTCATTATTATTATTATTTATTTTTGAGTTGGAGTCT